AAAAAAAAAACACAATAGCAAAAAACTCGAGGCCTTTTCCTTGACCTTTCTAGCTTGATTTCAAATGCCTTCAATGCCCATCTACCCACCTTCACCTCCAAGTTCAAGGCAGCAAGTGGAGGTGGGGGAGGAGGAGATCAGTTTGACTCGCCAACCTTTTTCATCAGGAAAGAGAAAGCTCTCACAATAAATCCGAGCAGAACTTTACCTAAATCTCATTGACCAGAACCAATGGGAGCACCTAGCTACATGAGAGCTGGGGTTACAAGCTAGAAAGGGCTTCTGGAGCAATCGACGGAGTAGACACAATTTGGGTCAAACAGTGAATACCCAATACGTGTGTGTGTGTATGTGTGTGTGTATGTACCTGTACGTGTTCTCCATTCTCTTAGTCCTTTTTTCAGGGGAAGTAAGATCTTTTATTTAGTTTTATTTGGTGGGAAGGGGGGGCGAGTTGCCATCCCTGGTAGCATCTGGGGCCTATTTCTGGCTCAGTGCTCAGGGATCACTCCTGGTGGTACTCAGGGGATCATATGTGGTCCCAGGGATGGAATTGGTATCAGTTTCATGTGAGCCGAGTATCTGGCCTCCTGTATATCCTCTAGCCCAAGATGTAAGATCTTTTTCAAGAGGAACCTTACATATCACTGGTAAAAGGCAGAATCAGGCCTTACACCCAGTCTTTTTTGACTGCAGTTGAAGAGAATAGACCTCTTGTCATTCTCCTCTGAAAACTGACCCCTTAGGTTCTGGTCTTGGAATCATGTGATTAATAGAAAGAAAGAAAAGGTGGAAAAGAATCAGGTCTAAAATCAAGTGACACATGCCTCTGAGGTTCTACACCAAGTGATGGTGAAGTCTGCACGATCCAAATTCTGAGCATAGCTGCTGGGGAATGGGACATGGGAAGGGGTGGCCTTTGTTCTGATGATGCCACTAGCTCCCAGAACTTCTGTTTTGGTTTGGTTTTTGAGTTTTTGGTCACACCTGGCTATGCTCAGGGGTTACTCCTGGCTCTGTACTCAGGAATGACTCCCGGCAGTGCTCAGGGGAACATATGGAATGCTGGGGATGGAATCTGGTTGGCCAAATGCAAGGCAAGCACCCTGCCCTCTGTACTATTGCTCTGACCCCAAAACATCTATAATATGCCCTTTTACAAAGCACCTCATCTTGTTACTGTAAAATTAGAACTCATGTCTGACCCTCGGGCTGGAGCAATAGCACAGCAGTAGGGCGTTTGCCTTGCACGCAGCCAACATGGCCGACTCGAGTTCGATTCCTCCGCCCCTCTCGGAGAGCCCGGCAAGCTACTGAGAGTATCCCGCCCACACGGCAGAGCCTGGCAAGCTCCCCGTGATGTACTCGATATGCTAAACACAGTAACAACAAAGTCTCCAATGGAGACGTTACTGGGCCCGTTCGAGCAAATTGATGAACAACAGGAGGACAGTGACAGGTCTGACCCTAAACTCTGTAACTTTTCATTCTATTTACCATGAGTTCCAAACAGCCCTCTTTACCAACATTTTTTTTTATTTCCCCAAGGACTGAATTTCATTGCAATTTAAATGCAAAAGAATGGGCTATATGCTCCTCAAGTAATTTTCAAATCAAAATGAGAGGATTTTTTTGTTTGTTTTTTATATCCAATGGTGCTCCTATCCAACAGTGCTCAGAGGACCATGTGGTGCTAGGAGTCAAATCCCAGTCGCTCACATGTCAACCCTAAGCTCAACCACTTCTCCAGCCTTGAAATGATAGAAATATCTAAAGCAGCAGAAGATGCACTGTTCAAATGAATGTGCCCTCTGGATGATATCGTGAAAAAAGACACCAATACATTACATAATTACATAATTTCTGCTGCTTAAGAAAATCATTCATCAGGGCTGGAGAGATAGTACAGCAGGGAGGGAATTTGCCACTAAGGAATTACTCTTGGTGTGTTTGGGGGACCACCTGAGATGCCCCCAGGTCAGCTGTGTGCAAGGCAAATGCCCCACCTGCTGTGCTATCACTCTGGTCTCTGAAAATTACTTTCTAGAAAAAAAAAGCATGTTTTACAAGGATAGTAGATCCTCTGTCAAATTGCTGATGGTTTGTTTAATGGAGGAAATGAGGCGCATTTACGAACAAATGTATTATAAGGTACAAGGGGTATGTTGGTGATTTTACCAAGCATGGCTCTTTACCTGGGAGAGTTGACAGTTGGTGAAACAGCAGGGTCTTAAAGGATGAATAGGAGTTCTCTCGGGTTTTGTAAATGGTAAAGCACTGCTTAAATGCAAGTGACTTAGAGGCCTTCATTAGTCTGTCCAAGCTTCACATAAAGCTCCCTTTCTTGTTTCTTTCCCATCCTCCCCAAGCCCAGATGCCCGTAGGAAGCAGTGGGCGTTAAACAGTCACACTTCAGTGCTTCAGCAAGTGAAGTGAGGTGCATCCAGCAGAAGAGCAGATCGGCACCCGAGGACGTCAAACGGTCCGGGAGCAGAGCCAAGAAGGTGCTGCTGGGTCAACAATCCCTCAGTTGCCACCCCATGGAGAAGCTGGCTTTGCTTGGAGCCTCCCCTGGGGTGACTGTCCTTCTCCGCCGGGGGGGGGGGGGGGGGGGTCGGCACCCAGCAAGCATCACCCAGAGCTCACGATTTATATTGGCAGGACACAGTGTGTCAGATGTCCCTGCAGCCTCCAGCGGAGGGGGAGGAAAGCAGACCCGTGGACCAGGGCTCTGGAATGGTTGGCAAGATTTGTTGGGGAGAAGTCTTTAGACACTCAGGATGAGACACGTTTCCCACTTTAATCACCAGGGTCCCCTTTCCACACCTGCAGCCTCCGGGGTACAGCTTCTCTGCCTCAGGGTGCCGCTCAGAGGTACTTTCTTTCATACCTCCCACTGTGGTTCCTCAGCCTATGACTCAGGAATTCCTCGGTGCTCCATTTGAGAAGGGAAAAAAATGCAGGGCCCCGCTGTGCAGAGTTGGTGAGGGCAGAGCGCCTTCTTTGCAATATTCCCTCCTGCTGTTTATTTATTTGTTCGTGCAATAAGCATCAATCCAAAACCCACATCTCAGTGCTCTAGATGATGTAACAGAATGGAAGGGGTAAAAAAAAAAAAAAACAGTCCAAATCCCTAGCTTTGCCTGGACTTGTCCTGACTGGGGATACCCATAATAAACAAAAGAACAAGGAAAAAAACAGCTTAAAGATATCAAGAAGGTCCTCCCCCACCCCTTGCCCCCCACACACCACCACCACCAAAAGGGAAAAAAAAGAGGGGGGGGGAATAGTACACCAGGTACAGCCTTATATGCAGTTCACCTGGGTTTGATCCCCAGCATCCCTTATAGTCACCAGAACACAGCCAGGAGTGATTCCTGAGTGCAGAATCAGGAGTAACCCCCGAGCATTACCAGATGTGGCCCAAAAACAGATAAAAATGTAAAATAAAGAAAGAAAATTCCAGGGGATAAGCTCTACTTTTTCTACATACGGAAAAGAAGAAACTGTGTGGCTGGAGTGATAGTACAGCAGGTAGGGCATTTGCCTTGCACGCAACTGACCTGAGTTTGATCCCCAGCACCCCATATTGTCCCCCATGCACTTCCAGGACTACTTTCTGAGTGCAGAGCCAGGAATAACTCCCAAGCTTTGCTGGGCGTGGCCCCCTCCCAGAAGAAGATGACGACGACGACAACGAAGAAGAAGAAGGAGAAGGAAAAGGAGGAGGAAGAGGAGGAGGAGGAGGAGGAGGAGGAGGAGGAGAAAGAGAAGAAGAAGAAGAAGAAGAAGAACAACATCAACAACAATAATAGTATAGCAGGTAAAGTGCTTTGGCAAGGTATTTACCCCTTTTGGTATATCTATCCTGGCTTCTCCAGGTAGATGATTTTCCTGTCTTCCTTCCTCACCCATTTGATGCAGTAGATGCCTTCAGCACACATGTCCCAATTTGCCAGTCTTACAACAGTACTATATTGCTACTCTTTAATACCCTTCAATTTCATCCAGGACAGACCTTTCATACTAACACCCAGTATGGGACTTGTCAGGGTCTGCAACCCATAAATATTTGCTCCTTGAATATATAAACCCTCACACAGCACTCTATCAAAGATCTCCTGGTGATGCTTATTTGGAATTAGCAGTCATCTATGATTAATCAGTGCCAGGCACTGTGCTAGGTGCTTCCAGCTCAATTTGTGCTTATACACCTCTTCGCTGCCATGTGCAGTGGGATTATCCAATTCTGAAAGGAAAACTCAAAGAATCAATGCAATGTCTCAGGTGGCACAGAAAAAAGAGCCAGAGCTGAGGACTCGAACCCACGCTTTCCTGATGTCAACTGCCAGTGATTCGTCTCCGATGCACCAGCCACAAGCTGGTTCCGTGAGCCCATGTCCTTTCCTCCTAGTTATCCATGTCTCCCCGGGGCTGGGTCTGTCCTGGACTCCATGCTATAGCCCATGTCATCACAACTGCACTTTGTAGTTAACATGCATTCAATGCACATGTCTGAGCTCTTCATGGGGTCAGAGAGGAATAAAGGGGGAAAAATGGGGCAGAGGAGAGTACAGCAGGTATGGCACTTGCCTTGCACACCACCGACCCCGGGATTCTATTCCTAGCACCCCATATGGGCCCCAGAGTCCTGCCAAGAGTGATCTCTGAGTGCGGAGCCAGGAGTGAGCCCTTAGGGCCACTGAGTGTGGCCCCGAAACAGCAACAACAAGAAGAATGGGTGTACACTTGCACACTAGAAAATGAACGAGTGGGTCAGCCTTTGCTCTGGAGAGAGCTGTTTCGAGGGAAGGAGTCTTTCCCGATACCTCCCTCCGCCCAGAGAAAGCTGCGTGTCTGGTCTCCGAGCTCAAGCCCTCATTTCTTAGAAATCACACCTTTCGCTCAGCTGTCCAGCTCAGCAGGCAGGCAAGGGGCACGGAGTGGGAACACGCATGGCTTCCAATGGGTCGGGGAAATGAGGTTAGGTTTCGATTCAGATAGTTATTTGTGTTTTCTGGGTCTGCACAGTCGATAAATTTTCAACGAGTAATGATTCTGTTCCTCATCTTTCACTGCTTTATGGGACTTCAGGGAATGAAAGCATAACATCCTGCTTTCCCATAAGTTCTCTGGCCGCTGCCCTGGCACCAATTAAAGACATGTCTATGCAATTAATCAAAAGCAATTTGGAAGCACTCTGGTGCTGCTCCTCTGAAGCGCTGCCTGCTCCACACACAGTAGTTGTTCAGCTGCGGTCGCTGGAGCCAGGCACATAGGAGCTTTTGATGAACTGGCTGTGCTGGCCCCAAGTGTTAACTATGTCATCTGACATAACTAATGAGGCTCCCAAAGTGATCCAGGCCAGCGGAGCAGCCCCGCTGTCTGGAGGAGGCTCAGTTTCCGCGGCCAGCCTGGGAAGAGGCTGCAACGTGCAGGGGACACAGTCTGTCATGTCAGCTGGCACCCTGGAGGCCCGAGTGTGGGAGCTGGGAGTTGTCCACAGGGAAGACGATGGAAACTGTGGGTCAGGCTCTGGGCTGGGTGCGGGGTGTGTGTGTGGGGGCGGGGGAGAGCGAGGAATGTGACCCCCTTGAAAGGTTGAGCTCAGCCTTCTCGTTTTGCAGATAGGGAAAACACAGTCCTGCAACAGTGGGGATGTCGGGGCCTGCTAAAGACCCGGAGGTGATAAGAGTGGACAGTGTGTGTTCGATCCGCTGCAGGTAACTTAATCATGAGTTAAATCCGGGGGAAGGAGTCCTGCCCTTGCCAGCTCAGCAATCCCAGATGCCCAGGGTTTGGCCTCAGCAGATCTAAGTGTCATGCAGTTCATCTTTGAGTCGATGTAAGCTGGAGTGTAAACTTCTTTTCTGAGCCTAGGTTTTCTCACCTTTAAACCCTGGGACCAGGATGTGTTGCCCACCTGGCTGACTTTAAAGACTCCGTGTGAGACCGCACAGAGGTAACAAGTATGGCATTGTAAGTCTGGGATATGTGGGTGTTTTTTTTAATTCTTACTCCCTCTCTGTCCCTCTCAGAGAGCCGAACAAGCTACGAGGGTATCCTGTCCACATGGCAGAGCCTGGCAAGATACCCATGGTGTATTCAATATGCCAATCACTTAATCACTTAACTTCCCGTTAGTCGTCGATTTCCTCGAGCGGGCGCCAGTAACGTCTCCATTTGTCCCTGTCGCGTGCTAGTGTAGTCCAATGGCATCTGTTCGCTCCGGGAACATGAAGGGCCTCAAACCGATCGTTCATGATCTTGACGAAGAAGTCTGACCATCTAATATGCCAAAAACAGTAACAAGTCTCACAATGGAGATGTTACTGGTACTTGCTTGAACAAATCAATGAACAATGGGATGACAGTGCTACAGTGCTACTCCCTCTCTGGAGCCTTGATTCTCATTTCAAAATGCACAATAAAAAAATTAGTGAGAGAGAGAGGGAGGGAAGGAAGGAAAGAGGGAAACAGAGAGAGAGAGAGAGAGAGAGGAAAAAGGGAGAAAGAGCGTAAAGGGTTGGAGCACAGACTTTGCATTCTGGAGGCCTGGGTTACATCCCCAACCACATGATCTCAAAAGCAGAGGGTCCCCAACCCCAGCATAGAGCCAGAGGTAGCCCCAGAGCACCCCAGAATTTAGAACCACCCAGTAGAGAAAAATAAAGGAGGAAAGAAATGAAACCCCTGAACCCCAGGTCTGGATAGAGTTTTGCTGTTCTCTTTGCTAATTGAAGTCACCTGGCCGGGTCCTCTGGTCCTTTATCAGTTAATCTTATACTGGACCTTCCTCCAGGGAGGCCAAACTCAACTCTCCCTTCCCTTCCCCACCCCCAGCCTCTCTATACTGGGCCCAAGAGCCTATAGCAAAGAGCAGGAAGCCTCACAATTGACAGAGGCAAAGCGGCCAGGGCTGGAGGCCACCGCCTCTCTCCCTAGTGCAGTGACACCTCCAGAGGCAAGTCACAAGAATCCCGATACCTGCAACATGATGGCAGGATGTGGAAGCTCCTTTCCCCCTTTCCCCTTGTTCAGAGCCTGATTTGTGGGTGCTGCCCACAACCACTTCTCCTGGAGCAGCTGGGCTCTAGGTAACCAGAGTCACCCAGGGCGTTTTTCTCAGTCTTTCCGGCCTTCCTGAATTCCTCCTTTCCCTCCCTCTCTCCCTTCTCCTCCTTCCCTCCCCATTCCCCTCGCTTCCTATCCTTCTTCTCTTCCTCCCTCACTTCCCTTCCTTTCCCCTCCCCACTCCCTTCCCGTCCCATCCCTCCTCTCTCCCTTCCCTCCCCTGTCTTCCCCTTCCCTCCCCTCCCCTTCCTTTCCATTCCCTTTGCTGCCCTCCTCTTTCCTCCTCTCCTCTCCCCTCCCTTCCCTCCTTTTCCCTCCATGCTTAGGGCTTACTCGTGACTCTGCATTCAGGGATCACTCCTGGTAGGGCTGAGGGAACTGTAAGTGATTTGGAGGATCAAGCCCTGGTTGACTGCATGCAAGGACAGCACCCTACCTGCCATACTCTCTCTCTAGCCCCTTTTCATTTTTATTGTAATTTTTTATCATGTCAGGGCTGGAGCGATAGCACAGCGGGTAGGGCGTTCGCCTTACAAGCGGCCAACATGGCCGACTCGAGTTCGATTCCTCCGCCCCTCTCGGAGAGCCCTGCAAGCTACCGAGAGTATTCGATATGCCAGACACAGTAACAACAAAGTCTCCAATGGAGACGTTACTGGGCCCGCTCGAGCAAATCAACAATCAACGGAAGGGCCTTTACTTTTACCTTTATCATGTCAATAACACAGTGATAAAAGTGGAGACCCTGAAAAACAAAGAAGAAAAGGGAATGGAAGGAAAGGGAAGAGAAGGGAAAGGAATGGGAGAACTCATTCAGACATCTGTTTTCATTTTTCTTACATAAATTTGAGATGGGGGCTGATTTTGTCACTGACAGAATTTCAGTTTCTTTTTTCTTTTTTAAGATTTTTGGTTACACCTGGGGATGTTCAGTGGTTGCTCCTGGCTCTGTACTTAGAAATTAGTCCTGATTATGCCCAGTGGATCATATGGGGTGCTGGGGATTGAAGCTGTATTGACTACATGCAACATAAGGGACCTACCCACTGTATTATCTCTCCAGCCCCCAGAATTGTAGGTTCTCTCTGGAGGTTCTGCATTGGATCATTCCGGAGTTTCTATTTTTCAGCTGACTGACACCCATTGGTGTCTCCACTGACCCAATGGTGCCCCAGGACTGAAGAACGGTGCTACATGTGGTAGAAGAGAACCAGTGGCCAGAGGAAGAGTGCACATATCTGCATGGACCCAAGATGCGGGTTCAGGTCTCAGCCTCTCTGCTTGGAGTCACCATTAGATACCTCATGACATCTCTGAGTCTTCCATCCTGTGGTCAGTGGGTGAGGATGTTGGCACTATCTCCCCACATTGCCGAGGATGGAATGAGGCTCCCAGAAGATCACACTCTATAAACAGGAGAGTCCCTGCCCTTGTGTGCCTGCAGGGCTGACCTGGTGTACATTCTCTCTCCTCCAGGGCCAGTGGTCTCCTGGGCTTGCCCACATCTATTCTGACAGGCAAAGCTGCATGTGTAATTTTTTGTTTTATTGAACCACTGTGTGATACACAGTTATAAGCTTTCATGATCAGGTTTCAGTCATACAATGCTCCAGCACCCATCCCTCTACCAGTGCACATTTCCCACTACCAAAGTCCCAGTATCCCTCCTGCCATCTACTCCCCGCACCCCTATACCATCCCCTCACTCCCCGCCTCCCTTTATGGCAGGCACTTTTCCTCTTGCTCTCTCTCTCCTTTGGGAGATTATAGTTTGCAATAAAGATACTATCTTTATTTGGTTTCATTGGCTATCATTGTTGGTCCTTGACCCACTTTCAGCACACAACTCCCATCCATCCCTTCCAACCATGTTTGTCAAAGTGGTCCCTTCTCTATCCCAAGCCCTTTGGCCCCAGCACTTGAGGCAGGCTTCTAACTAAGGACCAATCCTCCTGGCCCTTCTCTCTACTGTCCTTGGATGTTAGTCTCAGACTGTGTTATTTTATCTCCCACAAATGAGTGCAGTCATCCTATGTATCTCAGACAGAGAGGGCCGTCTGACTCATTTCACTTAGGTAATACTCTCCATGTCCATCCATTTATAACTGAATTTCATTACTTCATTTTTTTCTAACAGATGCCTAATATTCCATTGTGTAGATGTACCATAGTTTATTTAACCAGTCTTCTGTTCTCGGACTCTTGGGTTGTTTCCAGATTCTGGCTACTGTGAACAGTGCTGCAAGGTGTATTATTACTTACTGAGTGAACTCCTGTCTTTTGCTTAAGTACACTAATGAGAATGGTGGTAGTTTTTGATTTTTCACATTTTTCACTATTTTCTGTACTTATGCTACATATGTGTTAATGTGTATTATTCATACCATTCTTTTAAAAAAATACACTTATTTTTCCTTTCTTTTGATGCTGTTTTGTGATGGTTGGAAGTTTCACATGCTTGGCTAAGGTGTTCATACACGTACTGATCAGAGGTCACACATTGGCTATAGAGCTGGTACATCTCAATCCTTAAAAATAATTAGAAAAAAATAATAATTAACTGGGCTGGAGTGATAGGATAGCAGGTAGGGCATTTGCCTTGCATGCTGCTGACCTGGGTTCTATCCCTGGTATCCCATATGGTCCCCAAGCACTGCCAGGAATAATTCCTGAGTGCAGAGCCAGAAATTAACCCCTGAGCATCGTCGGGTGTGACTAAAAAAAATAATAATTATTATTATTATTAGGCAATGGGGGCTGGAGCAATAGCACAGCAGGTAGGGCATTTGCCTTGCACGCGGCCGACCCAGGTTCAATTCCTCCATCCGTCTCAGAGAGCCCAGCAAGCTACCAAGAGTATCCCGCCCGCACAGCAAAGCCTGGCAAGCTGGTGGTGTATTCTACATGCCAACAAGTCTCACAACGGAGACGTTACTGGTACCCGCTCGAGTAAATCAATGAACAACAGGAGGACAGTGCTACAGTGCTACTAATGGAAAGTGCATGGGGGACAGTACGGGATGCTGGGGATCAAACTCAGGTCAGTTGCATGCAAGGCAAATGCCCTACCTGCTGTACTGATGGAAAGATAGTTCAGGGCTTAACGCACTTGCCTTTCAGCTGTCCAACCCCAGTTAGATCCCTGGCACCACATGGTCCCCTGAGCATCATCAGGAGAGATCCCTGAGCACAGACCGGGGAGTAA